GTAATCCAATCAAATCGCTGCATTAGGTATGAAACGAAGTTCGTAATAGCTTGACATTGTTAAGATGGGAAATACATTATCCTTCAAACTGACTAACTAATATGTTCGATGGTTTGTCACAATCTGACTAATATGTTTCATGGTTTGTCACAATCTGACTAATATGTTTCATGGTTTGTCACAATCTGACTAACTAATATGTTTCATGGTTTGTTACAATCTGACTAACCATTAGGTTCACGGTTTGTCACAATCTGACTAACTAATGGGTTTCATGGTTTGTTACAATCTGACTAATCATTAGGTTCAAGGTTTGTCAGAATCTAACGAACTACTAGGTTTCATGGTTTGTCACAATCTGACTAACAGGTTTCATGGTTTGTCACAATCTGACTAACTAAAAGGTTTCATGGTTTGTCACAATCTGACTAACTAACAGGTTTCATGGTTTGTCACAATCTGACTAACTAAAAGGTTTCATGGTTTGTCACAATCTGACTAACTAATGGGTTTCATGGTTCTCATATTGCTAATTGTGTGCATTCAACAAATAGACACTTTCTTAAACAAAACGAGGTCGGATGTTCACAGGATGTGTTATATCACGTCAAAGTGTCGTGTAATCGAGTATCAGTAGACGTCGTTAACATGTCCTTTGATCCAGAGCCATTATAATGGTTACTACAAAATAAAGGGCACCTGCTACCACGTTCAGTATAAAGGAGTATCCATAAGAATCGGCGAGTGATGTATACACACAGAATCCTATCAACGTACAGATACCTGAAACATATAAAAAATGATAATAATAATGATTCGTTAGTCTGCCCAGTGAGCACCATGTCTTTGACCCGAAATCTTGAATACAAACAAGCTTTTCCAGCCTTTGCATAATATTGAGAACACTAATTTAAGTTTCTATTAGTATATCTGACCCAATATATCATTCGATTCTTACCAACTACAAACGTCGGACACAGTTTTCCCTTTGCGCTAGAAAATCTTCTATGATCCTCTTCCAACTATTGTAAAATTAGTGGAATGTAGTCTAATAAATGATAGAGTCAATTTCAGCTATTTCAGTATAGAAGTGACAACCAGTTCTTATACAATTCAACAGAAACTTGGAGACTGTTTTTTTTATTCTTTAAAGTAATACTGGTAGCTGAGACCTATCGACTGGTAAAGCAAAGATTTAAACGACGACTTAAAGATGGGTTCCCTTAGTTTCATTTTTGAAAATTAAAATGCTAATACTTATATGAATAGAAAGAAGGGGTGTTCTAATGACTTGGAAAAATACCAGTTTGTCTCACATCTCCATAATTACTTCATAATTAGCTAAATTAGAAGAGAATTCCAATGAGTGACGGATCAAGAATAGTCAAAAAGTCTTTCTTGTTTATCCAGACTGTACATTCATGGACATTTACGATAAATGCAATAAGAACTTAATGATATGATTAAGAATACATGATAATTCATAAGAAACACCAATTAATCAAATAGTTTGCTTAATTTGACACTAAAAAGTAAGGAAACCCGTCTTTAATATTTAAAAGTGACGATTGTTTTTTAATCTCTAGACCTGTCTATAATAAACCTAAAAACAATTACGTGAAATGCGATCTTGAAATGACATTAATCTTACCTGCTAAACCAGCTAAAAGAATAACAACATTCTTGACCCGATTGGCTGTATGTTTAAAGATGAACATAATCAGTAAGAGGAATGTTAGAAGACCCAGAATACATCCTATTATAACAAAGGCTCTTACTGTCTGAAACTTGTCGCTTATTACATCTGAAAAATATAACAGTTTTGTGTTAAGAAAACGGCTCTACTAAACTGAAATTTGAAATAACGTACAGTCCGACAACTCTGGTCACACTCATGGTACGTCCACTACTATAATATTTTCACTCTTGATCTTGCCATGCATTTGGACGAGATTTTGATAAACAGAATTGTCTTGCTTGTACGGATTTTTATTCTTAGACGTGATGTACTGA